TGTGAGATCTTGTGAAGTGTGCATTTGTATCCTGCATGATCACGTGTGCTCCGCGTGACGGTCAGTCCGTGCGAATTGAATGCGGACAGGAGGAGAGTTCAGCTTCACTGAAGATGCGCGATCGACAAACTTTAAACTCACGATGCTGCACTTTATTCATTTGCCCACTGTCATATTCATGTCATTTTCACTGTGTGCTATATGTAAAATGAGTGTTACCTAGACTTTATTTGAAAAATATGAGTGCTCTGTTGATTACAGTGTTTACTTCCTTTTTATTTATATATTTTTAAAAATATTTCTTTATTTGTGAAAAATACTAAGATAAATAATAGGATTACAAAACCAAGAAGTTGTCATCTAAATTATAAGTATGTTTATTACACTTTTAAAAATTAATTTTCAAATTATTTAAAATGTCTTACATATTAATTAAAATAAAATAAAAAATATATATACACACACACATACACACACATATATATATATATATATATATACACACACACACATACATATATATATACATATATATACACACACACACACACACACACACATACTTATATCGGCCATCTGCCACCCTGCTTTCTAAGATATCGGAATCGGCATCGGTTGTCAAAAAACAATAATGGTTGACCACTAATAGGGAAGTAGGCATATTTAGACACAGGGTTGGTGTTTCTCCAGGAACAGGGTTGAGAAACACTCAAATAAACCACCCATCCCTCTCCTCTTCAAGAAGGTGTGCTCTATAGTGATAAATTTTGCACTGACAGACAGGAACTTTGAATATATGGAGCGACTTACGGTTGAGTCCAATGTCATGATAGGTGAGAATGACCGGTCTGTTGCCTTTAGGAGTCCCTCTCAAAGTCACATGAAGGACACCATGAGGAGTCTCAATGTCATGCTCCTGCAACCAATCAGATGTGAATTAATAATAGAACTGTTTCAGCATAGAGCTCTATGAAATCATTCCTGCAATGTCTGCATGAATTCACAAATGGCCGTTAAACTGATTCTTACAAGGAAATATCTGCTCAGCACATTTCTAAATCAAGTGAAGGCTCATGATTAACTCAAAGGTTTCTTTTAGCCTGTTTCCAAATAAACGCAGGTCAACGTCAGCTTCAATCACCCCCTTGTGTTTCACCGTGGTGTAGGTTTTGACCCACCCTTGATGTTGTTTGCTGTTGCACATCACCACAACAACCACAGCATTATACGTCAAAGTAAAAAATGTCACCTCGGAAGAAATGGACACCTCAGCTACAAGACAACACAAACAGGATGAGGCTTGAACCACAAGAATGAGGTGAGAGGCTAACAGCACTAATCTCAGCCTCCTAAGGAGAGAAGAGCAGCAGGTCCGGCTCTAATCTCATTCCACACACAGCGTGAGGTTTCATTATCCTGGACCAAAAGAACCAAAAGCGGCTCTGACCTGCACCAGAGGAGAAGGACATTGTTTTGATGCAAACCTGCAGACTCCACGCACGCACACTCAGACACACAGAAGACTATAGTGACCTTAACCAAAGACACAGCATGCACGTTCGTTAATACAAGAAGGAAACCATTTCTCTTTTCTCTACACAAGTAAAGTCTCTGATAGTGATATCTTAAGCAGAAGATCTAGAAATCATGCTAGCAGCTGACACCTGAAGCAAACCACAGCAGCACCCACTGAAGGCAGCAGATTTAAAAATAGACGAGGCGGTTATGTTTGAGTGTGCACACACATATTGCTCTCCCTGACATCTCATGTTAGGTGACTGTTGTGTGATCTCTTGATGTACCATTCAAACAGTCTCCACAAACAGGTGTTTCTACAGTGCTGCCATTTCTACACTGGACGTGAGCGACACACTGTGACATGACCAAACGTGATCACTCCCCTTTATAATCAAAGCTGTCTACAATGGAAACAGCCGTTGCAACGCTCCATCAGTTGGTGGACGCCCGGTTTCTATTTGACGTGCTGCACAGCTACTTGTCCATCTGAAATAAAGGTTTTGTCTGAAAAAAGCTTTTGTGAATTGACTGCTATGGATTTTATATGTTTCTATACTTCTTGTTGTTACGCTAAATGCTTAAAGCTTCTGGCCTATTAATTTGTGGTCGGTAACATTTTTAAAGGTTTTGAAAGAAGTCTCTTATGCTCACTGAGGCTGAATTTATTTGATCAGAAATAGATAGTAAGAGTAAAAACACTAATTTTGTGAAATATTATTACAATTAAAAAAAAAAAGATTTCCTGTGATGCAAAGCTGAAGTCTTCATTGTCACTTGAGCATTCAGAAATAATTATAATATGCTGATTTGCTGCTCAAGAAACTCTTGTTTCTTATTATCAATGTTGAAAGCAGTTGTGCTGCCTCGTTTTTTTTTTTAGAAAAAGTTTTTTTTTCAGGATAATTTGAATAGAAATTTCAATAGAATTTGAAATTGAAATCTTTTGCAACATTATAAATGTCTTTATTTTGTCATTTTATTACATTTTAGCAATTTAATGCATTCTTTCTAAATAAAAGAATTAATTACATATAACCAAGCAAATTAAATCACAAGTCAAAAGTACTTAAAACAGAAACAATATATTCACTTCTGACACTGCATGGCCCACTTTCTATTGGTCTTTTTTTCCTTTTAATCCAAGAACATACAGTAACAAAATGACTCTGTTACCAAGACAACACCACACCACAGCAGCAGCAGGACACAAATGGAAAAGCAGGCAGCTTGGATCGAGCTAAAGGTAGATGTGCCTGAGGGTGGCTCAGAAATGTGTCAGGGATCTGTCAGAGACGGCAGTGCTCTGATAAAGATGGAAGAAAGAGAACAAGGTGAACTTGATAAAGAGGTTGGGTGGCTGTCGCAGAAAAAAGCCAAATCTCAACCTGTACCTGTCTTCTGTTTGTCTGTAAACAGTGGAGGCAAAAGCAGCTATTAAGTTTGGGAAGCTAGTACACCTGCGCACAAATTCTGCAAGGCATTTTTTTTAAAGGTCTGTTCAAAAGTAAAACAGTAAGGATGTGATTTAAATGGGAAATGTGACAATCCTGAAGTTACGGTCTACATAATCAAGTCAATTAATTTTAGAAACTGAAGATGTACATGGCTTCGAGAAAAGTAAATTCTGGTCTCACTTTTCTCAAAAAGTTGCTTGACACAGTAAAGAAATTGTATTATTATTAATCATTTTTATTATTAATCATTTTGTTAAATATATCAGACTACTGTATATTACAAAGCACATATTATTATTATTATTATTATTATTATTATTACTTTTATGCAGCTGGCAGCTTTTACATTGCATATAGATTACATTGCATGCATATACAGCTATACACTATCAGTTCATGATTGTTAGCAGTTGTTTGCTGGTTGAAGTACAGGAAAATATTATTATTATTATTATTATTATTATCTGAAGAAGACGGATTTGTGATGTCAGCCAAAAGCAAAGTTGCTTAAAGGTGCCATAGAATGCAAAAATCACTTTTATAAGGTGTTTGAACACAGTTGTGTGGCCGCAGTGTGTGAAAACAACCAGCCTATAATGGTAAAAATCCACCCACTCATTGTTTTATAATCCCAATAAATCATAAACAGTCTCTCCACACTAGCAGTTCCAGATTTCTCACTACTATGACGTCATACTCGGGGGAAGTCCCACCCATTTGTGACGCTCTCTGCCCTATTAGCATATATACAGCCCTGAGTGAGAAGCAGCGGTCCACCATTACTGTTTTCTTGCTGTAGCTGCTGGAGGTACAATGTCAGCGCCAAAGGTCCATTAAAAGTGTCGTGTGTTGGGATGCACCAACATGCACCAACATAACATGCATGTTACCTTATTATTATCATCATCATTTCTTTACATTTATGTATTTCTTTATTTTCTGCATTTGGCAGATGCTGTGTTAGCGCCATGCTCTGCTGTTTGTAATAATAATAATAATAATTATTATAATTATTATTATTATTAGCAACAAGAGGGGGTGCAATTTACATCAAGGGACAATTTTTTTTTGGAAAGTCCTTGTTCCCTCTTTTTAAGACATTGCTCCCCAAAAAGGTCTGGATGCGAGACAAACTACTAAAATGCACCATAAATTGGGAATCATACAGCATGCTTCACTGTCATCACCCTCACACACATACACTCAAAGGCCTCCTTTTGACACTTACAGACACACGACAGCACACACATACGTAAAGATCCATCAGACAAAAGGCAGATAACGCCCATCCTTCACCCGCACTACCTACGACACGACTCAAACTCCATCAGCACTCACGCACAGACCTGAGAGCGTGAGCAGTTCACGTCTGCAAAGTTCCCGCTGCTGCTTCAGGGGGAAAGCAACAGGCTACTCCGACACAAAACAGTCTTTCTGTTAACACTCACCACACCGCTCACTGCACAGGAACCCTGGTTGATGTCCAGCACTGCAGTCATGTTTCATCCAGTGATCACAGAACAGACGCTTTCTCCGGTTCCCTCTTCTCACTCTCCTCAGAGAGAGGGGCGGTGGCACGAGGTAAGGGAGGGGACAGCTGCGATTAACAGAAACAAGGCAGACGCCAGGGCAGCCTGTCGCTTTGAACGCCCACCAATAACAAATAAAAGCCTTTTTCCTCCTCAGTAGAAGCCGACGTTGGTAAAATGAGAGGATAAGAGAGGGATCCAAAGCAAAGCAGACATATAAATGCCTGGAGATTGTGTTTGAGAGAGAGGAGGGCACTCGAGCTGCTCTAATTGGATTTACAGGGTCAGTTAGAGGAGGTGGGGTGTGTAAAACTCAGCTTCTGTCTCAGCGTGTGAGTTGATAGGGGTGATTATTGGGAAATGTAATTAATAGATATGGATAAATCCATACAAAAGTGAATGGAACATGCGGTAACATCCAAGCTGCTGTTGCCATAGTGACAGGCATGGACAACTCATGTAGCGACAATACATGGATGAATATTTCCCAAATGTCTCCGCTATTGTGGTTCAAGACAGAACATGTGAAAGGAGAGGATATTAGAGGCTCTGCTGTGGGAAATGTTATCGTCTGCCACAGTGTTAGTTTCGTAACCCTAGGCTTAACCTCCGCTGGTTTTCCTGTCCGGAGAGTGCAGCCTGGCTGCTGTGCTGCGGAACTGTGAGGAGGAATACTATTTCTGGTTTGCATCAGGGGGTTACAATGACATTTTTAGGCACAATATCACTCTCTACAATGACAAAAGTTCCCAACATGTTTAGGAGAATGATAATTTTAAGTTTCACGTGGAACAGGTTACTTTTCACTAACACACTTGTGAAAAGACGTGCTTCATTGTGTTTAATGTGCACTTGTACTGTACAAGTACAAAGCCACTTAAGCGGACTTTAATGACTTTAAACTACGTAGTACTCTTTAATTCACGTGTTAATCTTTTGTCATGCTTTAAACGAGTACGCTTATTTTGATGTGTTGACTAACATACTAAACCAATTAGTATGTTAAATTTAATATTTTAATTGTACTAAATGACAACTCCATTGCTATGAATGTGTAATTAGAAATTTAGAAATTACATTCAAGTATATTTTAGTTCAGCATAAGTAATTGTCAGTAAATTTAACCATTTTATAGGGATAATAAAAGTCATTAAAATTTAAATATAAAGATTCCTTAAAAAGCACTCTAAAGTTAAATTTAATCTATTTTAATTTAATTGCAGTGAACATGCAATTAAACTGTCCGAAAACACTGCATTAAGTTCACACTTATGTATATTATTTTAAAAGTACAATACTTCCATAATAAGTACTCTTTTTAAACGGTTTTCACAAGGGCACTCTTTAAAAATTGCATACCAATTAATCAAGTCTCGATGAGACAGACTTTTGTCTTGGCCAGAAAAAAACTGGCCAAAGCTGGTGAATCTCCAAACATGAAGCGACCAACAAGAGCTTATTTTTGTTTTTATGTGCTGTTTATAGGTGGGTAAATCTGAAATAGATAACAGTACAACAATAGGCTGTGGAGTAATAAACTGCCTCCAAATAACTGCACAGCTGTCTCCTGAACAGGGGCGTCTTAAGATAACCAGAGGCCCCTGGGCTACAGCATTACAGTAGGCCCCCCTTCTTTTTTTCAGCTTCCTAACAATTATTTGTGTCAAATTTCTTCATTGATTTGCCAGTTTACATTTACAACACTGTTCTGTGTAAAATGTGAATATAAGTGAATAGGCAAATTCACTCTTTGCCAGAAGGTGGCGTTTGTGGAACAGCAGAATTATAGCCTTTACATCAAGTAAACACTACATAATACAGGCATATGGAGGTAATATGAAAAGAAAATGCCATCAAACTTTCCTGGCCGAAATGTGAGTTAAATAGTTAAATCATAGCCACTTAAAGTTTAATGATCACATTTAAGCAGTACGATTCCCATTTTCTGTCCGATAATAAAAGTCATTAAAATTTAAATATAAAGATTCCTTAAAAAGCACTCTAAAGTTAAATTTAATCTATTTTAATTTAATTGCAGTGAACATGCAATTAAACTGTCCGAAAACACTGCATTAAGTTCACACTTATGTATATTATTTTAAAAGTACAATACTTCCATAATAAGTACTCTTTTTAAACGGTTTTCACAAGGGCACTCTTTAAAAATTGCATACCAATTAATCAAGTCTCGATGAGACAGACTTTTGTCTTGGCCAGAAAAAAACTGGCCAAAGCTGGTGAATCTCCAAACATGAAGCGACCAACAAGAGCTTATTTTTGTTTTTATGTGCTGTTTATAGGTGGGTAAATCTGAAATAGATAACAGTACAACAATAGGCTGTGGAGTAATAAACTGCCTCCAAATAACTGCACAGCTGTCTCCTGAACAGGGGCGTCTTAAGATAACCAGAGGCCCCTGGGCTACAGCATTACAGTAGGCCCCCCTTCTTTTTTTCAGCTTCCTAACAATTATTTGTGTCAAATTTCTTCATTGATTTGCCAGTTTACATTTACAACACTGTTCTGTGTAAAATGTGAATATAAGTGAATAGGCAAATTCACTCTTTGCCAGAAGGTGGCGTTTGTGGAACAGCAGAATTATAGCCTTTACATCAAGTAAACACTACATAATACAGGCATATGGAGGTAATATGAAAAGAAAATGCCATCAAACTTTCCTGGCCGAAATGTGAGTTAAATAGTTAAATCATAGCCACTTAAAGTTTAATGATCACATTTAAGCAGTACGATTCCCATTTTCTGTCCTCGGATTTAAAATTGAGACTTTGAAGCAGCACCTCTGATGGAACACAGTCACTAAATCTAAAACCTTCAGCTGACACACAGATTATATCACGATTCCACACATTTGCAAGTTACTGAACTCGCACTGTATGACGTCACAGAAAGTTGTCCGATCCTTTCACACAGCAGTCTTGTGTTTCTTGTTAATCTGCACATTAACAAAGACATGTACATAGAGTAGCTCTCATACTAGGCTTCTTTACTAGCGCATTGTGCATTCCGCTCATAGTACATCGGTGGAACCTACCAAATATACAAACTGTGTGGGGGAAACCTAAACTGAACCATTCATTATATACTACAAGCAGGGTGTCGCTGAAAATGTGTGTGTGAGCTTGTTTACAGAATGCTGTTGTCACTGCTGAAAACTCCTATATATACAAATAATTATTCAAAAAATATAATTTTTCGAATACAGCAGAATACAGTAGGGCTGCAACAAACGATTAATTTGATAATCGATTAATCTAACGATTATTCAACTAATCGGTGACTATTTATCTGATTAATCAGTAGACATTTATTGATTATTCGGCTATTGCAATTAGTTAAAATATTGAGTTATACATATTCTAACAAATACATTAAGGTAATCACTTCAGCTTTTCAAAGTCATATTATGTAATTACAGTTATACAATTAATTTATGCAAATAAATATATTTGGCACACAAAATGAGATCGCAGAGAAACTCTCATTCACCATTTAATTAGCTATATGAAAAAGTAGCTGAATGACACATCATTCTGCCTAAAATCTCTTTTTGTAAGTCATATGGATAAGAAACAAAATAAAGGTAAGGGATAAGACGTTTTATTTTTGAATAAACTATTTTATTCACAACATAATCTCTCTTAAAATACCTTATAGGGTTATGATAATCAAAACAGTCCTGAGCTAGATCAAGCTTTGATCTCTGCAAACCAAACTATAACTTTAATTAAATGTTTTTCCCCCACTAATACATTTTGAAGAGCACGCGCTGCGAGCACAGTACCGTTTTCGCACTCGTTTGATTCGCGCCTGGCGCTGAAGTGAAGTGGAGTGCGCATCTGAAACGTCTCCCGTTCTCAGTTGTTCTGCGACAGAATAAATGCACTTCTTGTCAAGAGAAAAAGTGACAGAAGCAGCAGTTGTGAGTGGGGTGGCCAACTCTAGCCCCGCCCCTGCGTTAATTGCGTTAAATATTTTTAACACGTTAAACTGAAAAAATTATTCGCCTGCATTAACGCGCTAATTTTGACACCACTAAAATAAACGTGACGTGACTGGACTTTACTGGAGTACTGAACTGCAGAGCTCGTGCAAACTTATCCACATTGCTGTAATCAGGTTAGAGCCCGACCGATATGGGTTTTTTGGGGGCCGATGCCGATACCGATATTAGGGAGTAAAAAAAGACAGATACCGTTGAAAGCAATCTGCAGATTATTGCAGAAGTAGAATCATTTCAAAATATTAAAGTATCAAACAGTTAAAGAAGTTTAAATTTTCTGTAAAGAAAATGCACTGTACCATTTAGATTTTTCAAAATATTTTTGAATCCAAAATTGCTATAAAATTAAAGCCTTATGTCTAAATAAGTTATGTTCCAAATTTGACATTGATATAAAAAAAATTGAGGTTCCTGAGAGATTTTATTTAGGGCGTTATACCACAAACAGCCACTGGGCGCCATCAAAACTCCATGGAATTTTTTTAAATCCATTTTTCTGTCACAAATGTCTAAATATCTCTTGTCAATTTTACTACTATCACAAAATATGGAATCTTGAGACTCAGACCTTTCAGACGATATGCATTTTGTCAAGATTATAAAATGTTTTGATTCTAAAAGACCACAATACATTTTGTAATATGACACCTGACACCACCCACTAAGGGGGAGGAGACCGCCAAAAGATTTTAAAGTACCATTTCCATGGTAACGCAAGGTCCGATTTCAAAATGGTTTTCACAAGATGAATTTTGAGGGTTTAAGCTTTCAAATGATATGTAATTTATGATTATTACCAAGATATGTGACAGAGAAAAAAAGACAACGAAAAAAAGTCAACGGGCCCACCGGTGGGCTGGTGGCACTTAAGAGCTGTCGCTGCTGAACGTGACGCTGATCTGACACGCATCATATTTTCTCTCAACTTTTTTTACCTTTTCTGACCCACTTCAGGTCTTAAAGTCTCTATTAATGAGCTGACGAGTTGAATCGGGTGTGTTAGATGAGTGAGACAGTGCTGGGCTGCTCCAGGACAGTTTTGAAAACCATTTCAGAGACATGTTCTTAAATGTGACTCATATAAAATATATTACATGCATGCACAGTTTTAAGGCAGTTTTAATCGCATTTTTGGTAACTTCATAACTTAACTGACCACGACATTGCATGCACGTAGTTTATTTCGCGCTTTGATATGAAAGGATACAGGATACAGCCCGCGCCGGCG